CTGCCCCACCAGTAACCAGCGAGGGGCCCAGTCACGGTGCTCTGTGACTTCTGGAGCTAAATCACAGACAGGGACCGGCTTCTGCCTGACTCTTGGCATGGTTGCCCTTGGAACGCATCCACTATGTTGCAAGGAAGCCCAGGCCTCATGAAAGGCCTGGCAGACAAACTCCCGTGTCCTGGCATCAGCACGGTCCCGGCTAGGCCCTGGGCTGACCCCAGCACCAATGGGCACACAAGTGAGTGACCAGGTTCAGATGCCTCTAGCCCCCCGCCTTAGAATCTTATAGCTGAGTCAGAAAGCATGTCACAGACGAGCCCTGTCTGAATTTTTCTGACCCCCCCAAAATTGTGAGAGGTAATAAATGATTATTGTTGTTTTTAACCACTAAGCTTGGGGGTGATTGGTTAGGTAGTAAGAGTTACTAGTAATGCAGATGAGAATGAAAACTAATAAAAATGGAATAATGACACAATATGAATGAGTGCTCGGAAAGTAAAGTTATAACTATTTTATTAAAAAATATATTTTTATTGATTTTTAGAGAGAGAGGAAGGGAGAGGGAAAGAAAGAGAAACATTGATCAGCTGCCTGCACATCCCTTACTGGGGATCGAGCCCACAACCCGGGCACGCGCCCTGACTGGGAGTCGAACCAGCAACCTTTTGGTGCACGGGATTGATGTCCAACCCACTGAGCCACCCGGCCAGGGTGGAAAGCTGTTAACAATTTAAAATTCAACAGAAAGGCCCGAAGAGGGAGCCAAGGAAATGAATGGGGTTCGCGGGTCAGCGGCTTCGATCCGGCCTCCTGTCCATCGCGGCTCACCGCCTTCTTTAGGCCGAGGTCATGGCTCCTTCTCAACCCGGGGCTAAGCTGTCGGGGGAGAACCCGCAAATAAGAGCCGGGGTGCTGCTGAAAGAAGGCAGAATGGGCGCTGGGGAGAAAAGCCAGCGTCTAATCAGACATCCTGGGGAGCGTGCACATTTCTTCAGTTGCTCTGGTCTTGACTAAACTTTTTAGAGAGAAAGTCTGTTTTCTGAGCATCCCAGGCTGGTCCATTCTCCTCATCTGGGATGAATCCCCTCCTGCTGGCTGGGATGGCAACATTTACTCTCTGTGGAGAAGCAGCTTAGCCCCTGCTTTGTGTAATGAATTATAAATTACTAAAAAAAAAAAAATAGAGACTAGAGTTTGCCTCTTGGAGTGTATCTCTTATGGTTAGTTTTATTTTATTTAAGAATCTGTAAACATTATACCAATAGGAAATATTCATTGGAGAAGAGTAGAAACTTCACTTTTAATAGAAGGATAGAATTGCTGCCCGGCCCGTGTGGCTCAGCGGTTGAGTATCGACATTTGATCCAGGAGATCGGGGTTCAATTCCCTGCCGGGCACATGCCAGGGTTGTGGGCTCAATCCCCAGCAGGGGGCGTGCAGGAGGCAGCTGATTAATGACTCTCTCATCATTGGTGTTTCTCTCTCTCTCCCTCTCCCTTCCTCTCTCTGAAATCAATAAAAATATATTTAAAAAAAAAAAAAGATAAAATTGCTCATAATTCTACCCCCCAAAGATAACTGCTGTTAACATCTGATGTATGCTCTTCCAGACTTCTCTTTACAAATATATTTATGGGCTTTTGTCAACACAAAAATGAGATTGTTCCATAAATACTGTTGTACTCTGCTTTTTTCACTCAATAGGAGGTTGAAAACTTACTTATATGCCAAAAGATACCCTTCTTTTCAGTTGAACCATATGAAATTACCAAAATGCAGTTTTGGTAATTACCAAATGTAGTTTTGACCTACAAAAATGGTGACTGCATATTGTTTCACCCATTCCAGTTCTGTCATAATGTTCAAAGTTTATAGCCCTTTGGGATGGCATAATTTACTCAACCTATAACTTATTATTGAGCGTTTATAAAGTTCCCATTTTTTTCACAATGATGGAAAGTATTTTAAGGAAAACTCTTTTAGCCCATTCTTTGTGAACATCTTTACTTAGTTTCCTAGAATACATTTCTATGAATGGAGTACATTAGACAAAAGAAAGGCACACTTTAAAAGCTTTTGTTGCAGATGGAAGGTATCGTTTCTGAGAAGCCAGAAGCTGGTTGGTACAGGGTAAGACTTCTCCCCATGCCCAGGAAGATGGGGTGTCATGGGCCCCGGAGTTATTGCTTCTCCTTAAAGGGCACTCAGATGGGAGGGAGGTGAGGTCAGAAGGGAAACTGGGAAGCAGCTAGGCATTCACTGCTTGGAGTGGAGGGAGACAGGAGGTAACTATGTCTGTGCTCTAAAAGCTGGACATATGCTGGTTGTAAAACCTACGAGGGCCCATGGCAGCCTGCAGAATGGACACAACCACCTTGTTTATTACTCTGATACATGAGAGTTAGTGATCAAGATGTAATGGAGGATTTTTGTCTTTTAACCTGATCTAATCTAGGAACTTTATTACTTAAGTATCAAGTAAACTACAGACTTGTTCTCTGTATATGTAAAAAATATAGATGATGATAGATGATTGATAGATAGATGACAGATAGATGGATAGATAGATGACATAGCTGGCACAGACAGCCTCTCAGATGGCCCCCAAAGATTCTCACCTCCTGGAATTCACACCCTGGTGTAATCTCCTTCCCTTGGGCTGGATTTATTGACTTGCTGCTAATGAACAGAATATGACAGAAGTAATGGGACGTCACTTTTAAGATTATAAAAGACTACGGTTTCCATCTTGGGTGTTCTCCCACTTTCTCTGGGATTGCTGGCTTCTGGTGGGAACCAGCTCCCTGCCGTGAGGCAGCGCCGTGGGGAGGCCCGGTGGGTGAGCTTGGGAGATCTCCGAGAGAGGCCACAGCCCTGGCGCACACCTCTGCTGCAGCCTGCCAGAGAGCCAGAGCCTCCCAGTTCAGTCGCTCCCAGGTTCTTGATCTACAGGAACGGAGGGATGACTGTTTGTTTTCAGCTACTACGTTTTGGGGTACCTTGCTGCTCAGCAAGAGAACAAATGCAATAGTCGTTTGTTGAGTACTTAGTAGGCAGCAGGTACAGTTCTCACACTTTGATATTCACTCATTTGCTCTTCACAATGACCATAAGGAAGTGTCACTGTTATCCCCGTCTCCTGTTGAAGAAACTGAAGCTCAGGAGGGGTTAATAAACTTGTGGGAAGACTCAGCTCGAAAATGGTGAGGCTGGAATCTGAATCCAGGCTTCTGGCAGCAGAGCCACACTCCCATAAATAAAGATAAAAAATAGTGGCTCCCATTTCTGGCTAGAATTGCATAATTTTTCCATGCCTCAAACAAGTGACTTGGCAAAGGGTACAGAATCATCTTAAACTAATTAAGATTTACCACCCCTACTTCCAGAAGGGGCTGGGCAAGGCTGGGTTTTCTCTGAAATTCACAGTTCTGTAAAGTGGGTGAACAAATCTGGCTTTTGCTACAAAGGAGCAGGAGGGCTATAGGGTTGCTGGGTGGGGGCTCACAGTGTGGCCTCCACGGCAGCATAATCTGGGTTGTATTACTATTTTTGGAGGGAGACAGCGGGGAGGGGGAGTGGTGATAGATAGGATTTCAGGTTATACAGTCAGAAACTGGTTCACCAATGATTATATTCACGTGCTCAGGCCTATTCTTGAAGTGGTTTGGTTCGGAGCCAAGATACACTTGGAGGCTGTCTGGTGCAGTGGTGAAGGTACTGGCCCCGCAACCAGACAGCTCTTCATTGCTTCTAGCTGTGTGACTTGGGGCAAGCCACTACCTATCCAAAGGTCTGTTTCCTTACTTGAAATTAGAAGTAGTAATATTTCTAATTGGGTTGTAGTTAAAATTAAATGAAGTGATATATGTAAAGCATTTAGCAACATGCCTGGCTAAATGGAAGAGCTTAACAGATGAAAGCTGTGATGATTATTATATATAAGGCGGCACATCAGAGCACTACTAATCAGTTAATATTTATTACCTTTCCAATGTAGAACGCTGCGTTGGGCTTATATGGGGATACAATACATCTTGGTATCAAGGGGAACAGAATCTAGTTAGGGAGTTAGAACACACACTCATCAAAAGATATCCTGATATTTGGAAACACATGTTAAGTGACAAATATTAGGTATGTTCAGAACTTAGAGTTTCACTAACTGGCTGTGTGTCCTTGAGCAAGCCACTTACCTTCTCTGAGCCTCACTTGGCTCATCTGTGATATTCTGTTATTTTAGACCACAGCCTTCTGGCTCCCAACTTACCTCTCGCTGAATTAAATTATTTAATACACTGGTTCAGTTTATTTGGCAATCCACGTGTGCATAGAAAATGAACACCTATGAAAGCAGAGTCAGGCAGGAGAGTGTGTGGGAAAGCCGTGATGGCTAAAGAGTACTTTTGACCTAAATATCATTCTCCTTGAAATAATAGACTTTCAGATGATCTCTGAAACCATCTAGTTCCCACTGTTCAGTGCTCTGGCTGGGAGTGAAGCGGAATCACTAAGAATGTTCTCACTTGTATAGACAGATCAGTCCTTTTGCCAAGATCAGGCCTCTCTGACAAGCTGGTTAGAAGATTCTAGAAGTGTCATGGACCTAAAGAGGAAGTCACTGTCCTACATTGAGCGAGTACTTCAATATTTTTCCACATAAAGACTAGAGAAATTTTCCAGTCTTTGAGGGGGGCAGGTATGCTGCTGCTTACTAAGAAATAACCCTTTTCCCTGCATTGGCCTGGTGGAGGCCTAACCTGTGTGCTTACCGCCACCTAGTGGTGTTTAGATGAATAACCATTTTTGTTTTTGTGTGTGTGTGTTTTTGGATAAATAACCATTTTTAGGAAGGGGGTGGCCCTTCAGTTTTTCATTCCCTAGTCACTTATTTCACTGGCTGGCATCCCAGGTCAATTGTTATTTGCTTTGTGTATGTATGTATGTATTTCAATGAATAGTTTAGTTTAGAAACTTGATATAAACCAAACAGATAAAAGAGGTCATTTTATCAGCATTCCTTTATTTTATAAGTTCACACCTACAATTTTATAACACCTATTAAAATGATATTCAGAACTAGATGTTTTGATGATGTACATTAGGAATCCGAGGTTAGAGATGGCAGCTGCAAAGTTAACCATGGCATTTAGTAGCTGTCTTTTGTTTTGATTGCACAGAATCAATAAAATTCTGGTTCACACAAAAAATACCTTAACCACTGCTCACCATCTCCATGATAAACAGAGGGCAATACACAGCTAAAAACTATGACATATGATCACATTTGCACCTGTTACCACACAAGCTGACACCTCCACAAGATCAGGTCAGCAGAGGCACCTGGCCCTTGCCTTCCTCTCAGAGCAGTACACATATGCAGTGACAGGCCTTTTGCACAGTTTTGAGCAGTACACAAACGCAGTGATAGGCCTTTGTACAGTTTTGTATGATAAAAAATTCACAGGAGTGAATTTAAATATCTAAGTATCAGTACAGAACTACAGTTTTCCTACTCAGACACATTTAGGAGATATTCAATAGGCACATGAATGACAATGGGTTTGTACTGAGAACTGTGCAAAAATGCATTATTTGGCATCACAAGGTAGGGCCCAGTCAATGTCCATCACTGGAGTATATGGATTTTCTACCTCCAAGCTCTGCTTGCTGTCACTGTCCCTTTCTGGTTTCCTAAGATTCAGGTGAAATACCCTGCTAATAATTCTGCCTGGAGAAGGGCCTCCTCCTCCTCCTCAGCTGCCTCATCATCTCTCATCAGTGCCAGTAACTCCAGCAAGCCAGGGGCCGGGGTCCTGGGCAGAGCGAGCCTCCTGCGCTCCGTCCACTGCTCAGCAGCGATTTGGTCGAGTTGGGCCTGACTCACAGCTTCTCTCTCAACTGCTCCTCTCTCCACCAGTTTCTGTAACAAAGGCCCCGGCCTTAGTATGTAAGCAGACAACTTTTCTTCCTCCTTCTGGTAAGTGGTCAGATATTTGACCTGCAGTTCCCTAGGGTTATCAATAACCCCCAAAACCTGCTCACAAGCCTGCAGGCATTCGGGGACTGTAATTAAAGGATTGTTTATCCTGAGGACATGAATAACATCATATGCCGGACCTCTAAGGCTCTCTAGCAATCACCTTCTTTTCTCAGCGTCTGACACCTGCCATGTCTTCATCACCTGACTAGCATGAAACAGCCAGGGTTCACATTTTTCTTCTTCAGGTTCTGGAGGATCACTGCCCGAGAATACTCTCAGCCTTCTGTAGGTCAGGTATTGCAGGGCAGGCTGGCGAGCCTCGTCTAATGCCTGGGCCAACATGGGGGCCGTATTTCTGGGATCGTGTTCTGGTCAAAAGGGTCATTTCCATACCCCAAAGCTCTGGTCAACTCAACCAGCGTCATGCCCTCTCCTTCTAAGAATTCGGTTAATCTGCTTAAAAATTCATTATCTGGGTCAGGGGGCTTAAAGATCACTCTCCAGATGCCCCCTTTCCCAGGTATCTCCTTAGGGACCAGAGCGACACTAGTGTCCTCAGCGAGCCCCAGGGAGCCCCACTCAGCCCACACTCCGGTTCCGGTCCCCCCGGAATGTCTCCCGCGCGTCCGCTCGCCCAGCGGAGCCAGGCCGCCCGCGGAGCCGCCTCGGTTTCCGCCGCATGCGGGGGGGGGGCGGCGACCCATCCCCCTACACCAGTCTTCTGAGAGCCTCAGAGTCAGGATGCCCAACACGATATATTTAAATTCCAACTCGTTGGGGGCAGTGATGCCGCCGCAATTCACAGTATTCCCCCGAAGTGCGCCATACAAGTCCCGTCAGCGTCCAGAGTTCCAGGTCCGTGAGGACAGAGCAGTCAGGTCGGCTGAAGGCGGCCAGGACCCTGGGCCCCGCGCCCCTCTCCCGGGGCGGCCCGCGGCGGCCAGCAGCCC